AATGCTGCTCACTTGCCTGCCCCCAGAGCTTAAAGGTGTGGTTATATCACAAAGGAAGATTGGTTCAGAAGCATTGTTTCTAGCTCAGTATTGTTTTGCTAGCAATTTGTGCCTCATGGTTATTGTGATGATTTGGAATAGTTCATTAATTTATTCACTTAGTACAGAATTGTGGAATATTGTAACAAAGTGCCTATTAGGTGCCTTACATCTGTGAATACCAAGAAGATGGGCTTACCATCTTCCTTTCCCCTGACACCTTACTTCTTAAAATGAGATCCAAGGTCCTCCAGTGTCAGCATCGCCTGGAAGCTTGTTACACATGTAGAATCTTAGTCCCAAGCCAGTACTGAGTCAGAACCTGCATTTTCATATTTTGAGAAGACCCATGCCACCATGTTCTTTGTCATTTATGGCATCTGTTGCCTATGTTAAATTGAATACTTATAATGGTGTTGTGAGAATTAAATGAGATAATACGTATAAAATACATTAAAATCTGTAAGTGCTTCACAGCATTATTTAAGTATGAGGGGGAATATAGTAAATCCTAAGATATTGGAATGACAAGATTTGAGAATCCTAGGGTTTTTAGATATTTCATCCTTGATAACATTCCTTGATATTGTAATGCCATATGAAAAAAACACATCTATATCCAGGAAATTTGCTTAATTGCCATGCATTACCTTAGATACAGAGCTTTATTTTACTATATAGGAAGTTGCTAGGCCCATTCTTTTGTTTGTTAATTTTAAAAATTATTTTAAAATGTATTTTTAGGGAGAGGGAGGAAGGGAGAAAGAGAGGGAGAGAAACGTCAATATGTGGTTGCCTCTTGTGTGCCCCCTTCTGGGGACCTGGCCTGCAACCCAGAAATGTGCTCTGACTGGGAATCAAACCTGTACCCTTTGGTTTGCAGGCCAGCACTCAATCCACTGAACCACACCAGCCAGAGCTAAGCCCATTCTTTTAAACTGAGGGTTTTCAGTGTATTTTTCATCACCATTATTTTTTTTGACATGTAATATTTCAGCTTTTTGAGTTCTTAGTTGTTACTATCCTTTATTTGTATGACGCATATACAGGTTTTGATATGAATATGAAGATCTAAAATAGATACCTAGAAAAATGGACTTAAAAGTGATAGTTTCATGATATCAATTCAAATTAAAGAAGTTATACCTAGTGCGTTAAATTACAAGCAGCCAATCCAGATTCTTATACCACTGTTGAGTGAGTGAAAATTGTGAAAATCACCTTCTCATGGGTTTGTTTTCCCCACTGTACATTAGGAAAGATAGTATTCTGCCTATCTCAGAGAGTCTTGTGGGGCATGCAGCATGAGACCCTGGAAACATGTCGTATGCATATAGAAGGTGATGTTAGTTTCTAGTGTTGTCAAAGTGAGAGGCATATGTAAGTGTACATTGTAGGTGAAAGAGCCTTGTAAAATGTCTGGCGAACAAGCTTGTGGGTTGAGCTAGAGCCCTATAGTAGCTCCATCAAATTCACAATGTCTTTTGCTCCTGCTTCAGGTGGGTGGGGCCCCAGTGAGGGACAGTGACTCACCCACAATTTCTGCAGGGCGGTCAGGCATTGGCATGTAGTGGAAGCACGTGTAGGTGATGTATATCTGATGCATGCAGGGGAAAGCCTGGATGTTACAAGGAAACCAATGAGCCAAGAAACTTACAGAGGAAGGGAAGCTGTAAATGATGGATTTTCCTGGATCACTGGGCGTCACACCGTTCCTCTCCTGACTGTGACTGGAACGGGTGGCCGCCGTGGAAGGGATGCCCGCAGCATCTTTAGAAGCTGGCACACACGTGCTCATGGGCTTGGGACTGATAAATTCAGAAAAATACTATGAGGTTTGTTACAGGCTTTGTATTTGACTACAATCCTTTTCTTTGGTGTTCAGTAAATGAATGCTGAACTGTGAATGTGGGCACAGATGCTGGAGAATAAACACATGCCTATGGCATACCTGTCCCTCTCAGGCTTTCAACTAATTGTGGAGATCATAAACACCTTTATCAGAGAGAAAAGTAATAATTAATACTCATGCTATAAAATAGATTTTGGTGTGTTGTGCCCAAATTTAAAAACTGTACATATGTGTGTATGTGCCGTTGAGTGGACCCTGCGAATGAGTGCCATCCACCGTGTCCCGCCCTCGACTGCCCTGCTTAGCTCCTGTGCACTCACCCTGTGGCTTCTCTAATGGAGCTGGTCCGTCTTGTACTTGCTCTTCCTCTTTCCCTGCTGCTTTCCATCTCGAAGCACGATCATCCTTTCCTAAGGACCCGGCCTTCTCTTGATGTACCCAAAGTAGGGCAGCTTCAGTTTTGTCATTTTTGTCTCCAGCAGTGTTTTCAGGCTTAATGTGCTCTAGGACACACTTATTCATCTTTCTGGCAGTTCAGGGTAGTCGTAGAACTCTCCTCCAATGCCGTGTTTTAAATGAATTATTATTTTCTATCAGCATTCTTCTCTTTCCGACGTTTGTATCCATCCATAGTAATTGTGGGGATATGAAAGTATGGATAATCTTAGCCTTGGTCTTCAATGATACCTCTTTGCTCTTAGTGATCTTTCTTAATCCTGTGTGTTTAAAAATAAATCTACCTATGCATTTAAATCTATATTATATAGAAAAAAGAACAAAAATGGGCCATACATTAAAATGTTAATAGTGATGAAAATTCAGATTAATTTTAATTTTTATTTTTTATGTCTTCCTCAATGGGCATGTAAAGACAACAACATACTAAACTTTTGAAGCCTGCAAAGTATTTTTAGACATGCTATCTCATTTGATCCTCACAAGCACGCTGTGAGGTAGATCAGTAAGGAACATCAGTGTCGTGGATAAGAGAAATGGAGGAGACAGGCACACAATGCAGGCTGCCAGGATGTTAACTGCAGTGAGATTACATGGTATGTAGAGAATTGAATAGGTGGCAAATAGCAAAACCAGAAAAAAAAAGGCGGAGGGGGGGGGGAACAAGGAGATTTGGTTGTACCTACTTAGGAGGGGAATGTAAAGATCCCTGAACAGTTTTAAGTTTAGGGCATAGAAGGCCTTTTGTTTCCATCTGGCTCCCTGATCTGAGTCCCGTCCAGTTTTTAGTAGACTCAGAGACAGGGTTTGAGATCAGACAGTCTGAATTTGGTTTCCAGCTCTGGCACTGCCTAGCTATCTAACCTGGGCAGTTATTTATGGACTTGGGACCTCAATTTACCTATCTATAGGATGAGGCAAATACTATTAGCTACTGTGAGGATAAAGTAAGTTCATACATGAGATCCTTTAAAAGTGTGTGTAACAGTCGAAAGATAAAGTTTTTAACTAGTTAAATAAATAACATCATGGTAAAAATCCTTAAAAAAGTACATGGACATAGGAGGACTCAACTTCTATTAGGTAATATCATTACCATACTTGTTGATGTAAGAACATCCAGACATGTAGAGAATTTTTATACGCGTTTATTTGAGCCGAGCTGATGATGTACCAGGAAGCAAGGTCTCAAATGCTCTGGAAAAGACACTTTTAGAGTTCTTTTCATACATTTGGGATTAAGGAGGGAACGTAAGGAAGATGACGTGAAGGAGGGAGAAAGCAAGGCGGAGAAGTCTGTATGATTGATTACAGGAGAGTTGACAGATGCTGTGCTCTTTTGAGGGCGGTTACCCCTCCGAGGGGTCTGAAGAAAGAGGGTTACCTCTGGCATTTCGAAGGTGTATTTATGCCTTTGAATGAGAACAATGGACAGGGCTTGCTTACAGCACAGATAAACCTTTTATAGGGCTGCAGTGTGAGCACTCATCACAACTGCCCAGTTAGGAATTTATGATCAGATGGCCCCGTGAGCTTGATTTCAGTCACTGAATTTGTCAGATTTATTTTCATAGCCCCTTTCACATCCTAACCCTCACGGGTACAGGTTGAAAGGATATGTATATCGATTTCAGGGAGACAGCTGCATTATTACAGTGCAGATAGAGCAATAGCCTTGATCTTATAGGGTCTGAGACAAAATAAAGAGGTTGTCAGTACAAATATATCTGACACTAATCTTTTCAGTGACATTATCATTTTGAGATGCATAAACCTATGGATTGGATTAGTGATTATGTTCCTTAATAATAAGAAATATACAGATGTGTATCAAAGGTATATAGATGTATACTGAAAGTACTGATAGCTATAGATTAGAGATGCAAAAGAATTAAAAACTTACCACAAAAATATGAGAGAGTCTGTGTTGGTATTATTGGATTATTCAGTAATCTATTTAAGTCTTCACCAGTTCCTCCCTGTTCATTACAAATGTTTTGAATCTGTGTGTACACTTAGATGTTCTGATTATACACTGTTGCAGGCAAGTGATTGCTGTCAAATTAAGAATGGTTGTTTTGTCTTTAAAAGACCTTAACCATGGGCCAGGGAGTGGAGTGTGCCCTGAAGGTTAATTCCCTTACACCTGGAATTAGTCTGAGGTGTCCTACTGAAACAAGTAGTGTACCTGCCTATTATGGACCCTGGTTAAGGCATGAAACAACTGATTAACACTGTTGCCTTATACACATTGGATAGGAGTTTTAGGGTGGTTTCCACCAACTGTTAGCACTGTTTATTGATAACTGTTAGATTGATGATTTGCATCTCGTCTAGGAGAGACCGCTGAAGGGCCCTGCTGTTGAGGCCTATTCCACAGCAGGACTGTGTCTGTGGGACCCACAAAAAAATATAAAATCACCAGCTAGGACTCCATCCCAGCCATAGCCTGAAATACTACCAGATGAGTGCAGATTACCCAGTGAGAATAGATGATAGGATCCTAAATACTTTTTAATATCTTATTCCTAAATCCTTCAGTTCTTACAAAGGTAGATTATAAAACCCAAACATTGGGGAACCTCTCATAAACATCTCTTATCCTGCTTCTTTTTGAAAATACCTAAAATGTGTTTCTTCGTCCTTTTTGCAGACACCCTGGCTGTGGAATACAAAGCACTGCTGGTACAACTACCCCTATCAGGTAAGGAGCCGTTACTGTCTGGATTTCCACACACGTACAGCGTCTTCCCTAGGTGGGATTTCTGACTTCAGGCAGGTCCCAGGAGGTTTGGCAGCCATCTTGCTTTTTGGCCCCTGTCCCCATCCTTGTTGCTTAATGCTGCCTGTAGCCTAGTGAGGGAGGTGGTCTGTGCTCTCAGTGAAGTTCAGAATCAAAGCTTAATTGCTTTAGTAGATGGAGTAAATGTGGAAAGGTGCATTTGCTGGACAGTAAGATGCCATCAGTCCAATGGGGGATGATTCTTGTTTCTAACAGTTGATCTGCTTCTAATTACTGGAGCAAGTCTGATAGTAGGACAGGCCTATCTCAGTTCCAAGTGGAAAAGGCTCGTGTGGAGCTGGAGCAGGCGTGCTGACTTCAGTTCATTTTGTGGCTTAGGAGCAGCTGCTAAATATGTAAATCAAACACCATTTTCTTGAACTCAGAAAAATGGGCTGGTACCATTACACATAGACCCCCCCCAAAAAAATATCACTGAGAATGAGATTAAAATAGTATTCCAGAAGGCACATCAGCCCATAGAGGTACCTTTGCCTCTGTCCTTGAATTCAGTAATGTTAGCCTGTGTTCTGGTCCCTAGGTCAGTTACTATTTGAATATCAAAGTTGGGACTTTTCTAGAAATTTCTTGCCAAAAAATTTCTACATCAATTGGGATATGTTTGTAAGAGAAACAAATGTAACTAGGTTTTTGGTGATGCAATAAAGAGACATATATTATGATAAGCAACTTATAATTTTGAGTATGGTATTTTGGGGGGTTGTCCTTTTAAAGGTTTTTGGTCTTTTGGTGTGCATAAGGTTAACAGGGAGCAGGCATGCTCTGTGACTTCCCCATCACCCAGAGTGTCTGAATGGGGTGAGAACTGACATTGGCTACTCTTTGGCCAAGTTCAGGGTTAGGGACATATTGTGATGGAATTCCACTTTGCATTTCCATCCCTTTCAAGTAGTTTATTCAGATTAGAAAATAAAATAAATAAGCAGCATGACATGTTTAGAGAGGGCTGAGTATTCCAGGGCTATTTCATACAGACTAAAGCAACACTGAAACCCAGTCACTACTAAGAAACATTGTAATTCTCAGGCCCAACTGCTGTTTTACTATCTTACATACTTGGAATATTATCATTTACAGCTCTCTTTGTGTCCTGTAATGGTATACTGAGTGGAAAAATCCATACATATAAAAATACATCAAAGCCTTCCAGGAACCTTAACTCGAATGCTGGGGTGGCAGCTGCTCTGACACACTGCATTTATGAGGTAAATTCTGTCACGTGAGCAGCATTGAGACAAATGCCCCATGAAGTGTAATACCCACTCTTCTTCATTACTACAACATAGCGTGGAATAACTTTCACATTAATGGCTGGAGCTGAGAAATTGCTTATTTTCCAAGAAAATTAGTTACTGGAGCAGTGGCTCTAAGTGGAGCTGCCGACTACTTCACAGGCAGAACTGCAGATTCCACCTGAAAAGTTGAGGGTCTGGTATATACAGTCACATTTATCTAAAAGAGGAAATGTCATTAGTATAGAAAGAAAGATACCATAGGTGGGAATTCAGATCAAGATTGGCTTCCACTGCTAAGACATCATTGTTTATCAATGAATAATTCAGCACATAACTCCCAAATTCCAGGACCACTTCATGATCTCTCATGGGAACAGTGGTCATTCTTGATACATTCCTTATACTAATAAAAACAAAACTTAGCAGCTTTCTTTTTGTGTGTGTGGGAAAAAATATTAAACAGCATATAATTATTGTGCGTGCAATTATAACACTTTGTGGGTAGTTCCAAGTCAGTCTCAAGCCTGAGAGCACTTTTAAAGATGGGCCATGCTCATTAAACAGATTTATTGTGTCTTTAGCACATACGTTAAATAAATAATTGAACAGATTTATAGATGAAAGAGTAGTAGTCTATTTGAATTTTATTAAAGATGCACTGCTCCTTCTGAATGAGAATATATATTATATTTTTACTGCATACATAATGATTTTATATACACGTGTCTGGTTTAAGTTTAAAATAAGGGGACGTGGCCCCCGCTGGCCCTTGCACAGCCCATCACGATGAGCACAGTGGGGAGTGAGGAGCCCTGGCTCTGCAGTCCCAGCGCCTCCCTCGCTGTGAGCCCCGGGATCACCTCCCAACCTGAGTTAACTGGCAGCAGTTTCCTGTAACCATACAATTTAGAAAATGATAGTGCTAATTTTATATGATTTTTATGAGAATAAAAGATTAGCACATGAGTAAGCTTTGTCAACTGCAAAGCACTCCACGAATCGGGCAGTTATTCTAATATGACACTCTGTTACTAATTCTGCAATTTCTACAGTGCTCTCACTTGTTCTCATCACCCGCCTTGCCATTTTCCCAGGTGGCGATGCAATGAGAAAGTGAATCTCATTAAAACTGAAATTTAATCTTGGCTCCGAGGGTCCTAAAGCCAGCACTCTATTTTCTAGACTTTATTGCTGTCATATGTCTACCCTGAGTACCCATCTCTAATTGCTAATGCTTTCAAATTTTAAAAGAACACTTGAGCAGGAAATATATTTCTCCAGGGTAGTGCTGAGTTTGATGAACACATTGATGCTGAGAGTTTAGGATTGCTGGTAGGGAGAGTATCCTGTCTTCTCGTGTTCTGTTGCCAAAGGTCAGTGAGCGGGGCAACTGTTTTCCGAGATGCCTATGCACGAAGTTGGTAGGGTCGGTAGTTAAGTGAGTACCGTCTTCTTGTGAAAGTCATTTGTTTTGCTGCTATTGGTCTACAGAGCATTTAAGTTTCCTTTGTATTTACTGCATATCCCACTGTTACCCTCTGTGTAGTGTATGGATACGTTTGTGTAATGAGCTTCAAAGGTCTTTGATTCATTCTGGTAGAGTTAAGACATTTTGTTACAATTCAATAAAACAAAAACAACTGGTCAAAAACAGTTTTTTAAAACACTGTTTTGTTTTCATGGATTTATGTGCAAAGTAAATATTACTGATCTTTGCTGCCTCTCTGAACTCCTCATTCCTGGACCTGTCAGGCAGACAGAGCCAGTGTCACCTCCATTTTACAATAAATTAACTAAGGCCCAAGTTCAGTACCTACTAATCTGTGGAGGTGGGAATTGATCTCATATTTTCCTGGCTGAGTGCCTAGCCCAGTATCTCTTGGCAGATTCTTTGCCCCTCTGATCTTTTAAGAAATATTTTTGAATTGCCTTTTTTTTTTATGTTTGCAATCTACTAAAAGAAAGATCTGATTAATGCAGAACTTAAAACTGTGCCTCAGCGACTCATTCTGTACTCCAGGCTCTGACACCCACCTCCCTTGTCCCTGTGCTGTGGAATTGCTCAGCAGTTATCCAGGGTTATTCTTTTTGTGTATGCGTTAGAATACTTTTTCAGGTTGCCTAAGGAATCTCGCAGATACTCATGCATATCAAAGAACCATAAATGCTATTGTTAAAAGGAATAATGAATTGGTAAATGTTCATATTGACTGACACTTTTTTGGTTGGAGATAAATCAAAACTAATGCCATCAAACTGAGCATTTGAGGCATCCTTCAAAGCCCCCTTATCCAGAAAGAGATCAGAGCTAGAAGTTGTGGAGGCATAAGACCATGTCACGTTTCAGCCCTGAGCTTGAGGTACTTGGGACCCAACTAGGGTTCCCTGTCAACTATTAATCTTTCCTTTTTTTTTCTTTGGTCCTCAGCCACTCACAGCTGACCTTCACTACTATTATATCCTGGAGCTGTCATTTTATTGGTCTTTAATGTTTTCCCAGTTCACTGATATCAAAAGAAAGGTAAGTGGGGTTGGGTTGTGTTTGCAGACATGTGCCTTTAATGGCCCCTGGCAGATGGGCGCGGAGTCTCACGGGCACTTATCTCTGTTTTCCCAGCAGTGCCAGCCAAGTCCCGATTTCTGCTTTGATACATAAAGTTCTCTATTTTTGTTTGCGCTGGTTTGTATTTTGTTCCCATCATCTCTTCACTCTTCCTTAGTGTTCTTTTCTCTATGAAAACATATAGCAAGCAATGAGTCCCGACAGCAGTAATTTCTCTCAGTCTGATTCACAAGTCCCTCTGTTCTCCAAATTTAAGAAGAAAATTTTTATTTGTTGCTCCTGGGAGAGAGTAAATTCTCAGTGTTCTAGCCCTAGAGAAAGAATTCTTCTCCAATTTAAGAGCTACCTCACATTAAACATATGTCATGAAAATAACAACATTCTTACATGCACCGTGATGGGTTTCTCCCCTCCCTCCCTCTGGCTTTTGTGGAGGGTACTCTGGACCTTCTGAGTGTTAAACCGCTCATCCCAGCTCTCGTCCTGCCAGCCTCTGGACGGAGGTGACACTGGTGACTATTCACTGCTAACTTGTTTTTCATGATGCCATTTTCTTCACATTTTCATATTTGGATCTTTACTTCTAAGTTGTGTTTGCTGGCCTGCATCCCAGAGCCCCATCTCTACATACCTGTGTGTTCAGGGCATACCCCTTTCACTGGGTCACAGCAGCGATGTACTCTGCTGGTCAAAGGCTGCCTGTCTGACCTCTCTGGAGAAACAGCCTTAATGTCGTGTAAGTCGTCTGCTTCCCAGAACTGGGCGGTTCCTGTAAGAGTTAGGGCTTAGATATAGCAGATAATTCATTGGCACCCATAGCTTGTGGTTTCCTTACTCATGGCACCAAACACTCTGGATCAGTTTCTGGGAATGTTTAAAGATCCGTCAGAACCAGTTAGATCTCCTCTGTCTTACAGGAGAAGCCTTCTTCGTTCATGTAGTCAGTACTCGTCGTCTGCTCATCCACGTGTCAGGCTCATTGTGTATCTTACTGCTTTGTTTTTTTAAATCTTTAATTTTGGTAAAAATATAAAATTTACCATCTTACCCATTGTCAGTGTACAGTTCAGTGCTGTTTCACACATTCATATTGTTGTGCAACCAGTTTCTAGAATTCTTTTCATCTTATAAAACTGAAGCTTTATACCCATTCAACAACAGTGCTGCATTCTCCCCTTCCCTCGGCCCTCAGCACCAACCATTTTACTTTCTGTCAGCTATGAATTTGACTGCCCTCGGTACCTCCTAAAAGTGGAATTAGCATAATGTCCTCAGGGTCATCCATGTTTGGCATGTGTCAGAATGTCCTTCCTTTTTAAGACTGAGTACAATACATTTTATTTTCTTTTGAGGAACATTTTTTGGCTCAAAATATGTGTATAACAACAAAGGAGGTTTGAATATTCTTCCTGTTTTGTAGTTGAGAAAATTGATGTACAGTAAGCTTATGTAAGTTTTTCGAGGTTGTGCAATGTGGGCATGAATTACAGCCCCAGCTGACCGAGCAAAGCCATGTGATTTACTCTCAGATTGGACATGTGCACTGTTCTTGCATTGTCCTGCCTTGTCATACTCCTGACATTAGAGGCAGCAAGCCTTTCTCGGCTCTTTGACGTTTTATTGGTTCCTCTTTTGCTTAGTGAGAATTAGCAGTGCCATCTGAGTCAAAGAGGTTGCAAGACTGCCCGTCCTTGGCCCCGAGGAGCCTAGTCCTGGCAAGGCATTGCTGAACCAAAAGTGACCAAGCACCTGCCCCCCACCACCGCTCACCTGAGCTCTCTCATCATGTGTTGACCTGGTCTTTTCTGTGCACCAGGAGAACGGACAGAGTCTTTATTGTTTCAGGCCAAGTGATCGTTATCTTAATAGTTATCTCAAGTGGATTATTTTCAAGCTTTGAAGTATATCATTTTGTGTGGTTTTAACACATCTTGCATTAGAGTAGAAAACACCTATAAAAAGGGCCATTTTACAATGAGGTTCATGGACTTGATCTCAGGCCTGTACATATTGTCAAATTTTAGAAATTAATTATATATTTTTTTCTTATTTAACACCAAGAGCTTATTTTAGATACCTGGCACCTCTCCCTTCTTCAGTTGGTCAGAGGACTTTTGTATATTCCTGATACAGCTGGCTTATTCTTATTTCATGTGCAAGGTGGGGATATGGCCACTGCAGGACTAAAGGTTGCCCAGCCCAAATTTTAATAAGGAAGGCCTTTTCCTCTGTTGACATCTCTCATTGGTGAGCTGTAGCCCTTGCTTTTCTCCTTTGCATCTGGCTATCACTACAGGTCCTTGGTGGTCCCTTCTCATTGCTTTACCACTTTAAGGACCTGCTGTTCCAGCCATCAGCTAGGATGTATGGAATGTTCTGGCTGTGAAATACACTCTGCACCTTCTAGATTGCAACTATTAACCAAACTCTCTAAAACAGAGCCTGCTTCCTAATTAGAGAATAGAAATATTTGAAGACACCCATTGACAACAGAGTATTAAAATCAACTTCTAAAGGTTGTTTGTAAGGTCATTAATAGAAAGGCTAGGAAAACATTTCCTTAGCTTCCCAATTAAATGAAAATGAGCCTCAATGGTCATTTACAGTAGAGACCAGGATTTATAAATACTGGCCCCAAATGTATACCTCAAATTGTTAGAATTAGTACCCTAAATAAGGTTTAGAAATCATTTTTGTGACTGAATGGGTTCATGAGTCTTTTTTTGAGTCTTTCTAAAATGGCCTTTATATTCACAGACTCTTCCCCTATCTAAGGGTCCTAATACTGCCATCATTTTTTTTAATTGTTCTGCTTTGAAATAGAATATGGAGTCTAAACGTGAGTGGAGAGCATTTCATCCTTGTGGTGACAGAGCACATGGCCTCTCCCTTGATCATTTCCACAGTTGGTACTTATTTCGTCAGTGACGAGATATACCATCCATCTTCCCAGAGGGAAGCGACTGGCCAAGATGTGGTCATTTGGTATAACAGACTTATAATTCAAATACTCTATTGTAGGCTACCAAGATGTGTAAACCTTTTTGAGGATTTTCCTTTTTTCCTTCCTTCCTCCCTCCCTCCCTCCCTTCCTTCTTCTTCTTGTTTCCCTCCATTCCTCTCTCCTTCCCTCTTTCTCTCTTCCATTCTTCCTTCTTTTGTAAAGAGAAATTGTTATAGTATCTTATTAAAACAACAACTGTATTCTTGGTGTTCAATATTGTTTGAAACATTTATTTCCCAAGCCTTCATTTTTGTGAAAATTCTGTTTGTAGCACCTGTTCACAATGAGTATTTCTCCTGCACACCTAAATTTTCTAAGGGAAACTAATAAATATGACTACACTGGAGCTCAGAACAGCTTGCTTGTGTCTAAACCCTATGTTCCTCTTAACTAAGTGGCTGTTGGACTCAAGGCCTGGGCCCTTGGCCAATGAGCTGGGCTCGTGTTTAGAGTCCTTTGCAGGAAATCATCCATGGCTGAGTCCCAAAGCCCAGCTGGTAGAATCAGCTCGTTGTTCTTCTGGTCTTTAGCCTGAGAGAAAAACTACATCTTGTAAAAGATTCCTGACAGAGAGAGGTATTATGATTAAGTTTAGCAAGAATCTCATTGATGGACTTGTGTTTGCTCTCTGGTAACTCTTGTAGATAATAACTTGCATCCATTGCTATGGGTGCTTTACCCACTTTTTAGGGGCCTGTTATGCTTCAGATCTTTCCTGCTTCAATTGTATTTAGGGTAGAAGAAAATGCATGCTTTAATCTTTTTATAAGTATGGCAAAGAATTAAATGAAATGCTGTCCATGAAACCATGTAGTGCAATGCTTGACAAATAGAGCTTAGAACAATACCTCTCTTTGCCACATAATAACCAAAATTTTGTTGAATCAAAAGAAAGTGCTAAAACCAAAAACAAAAGAAACCTTCAAATTTAGTGGTCACCAAGTTTTATATTTTTGGTTAATTAAAGTGAACAAAAATAATTAGGAAGAGGAACTAACTTAAGGTTGTCAGTCTTTTTTCCTAGTATTTCCTACCATTTCCTACCATACCATACCAACTAACTTAAGGTTGTCAGTCTTTTTTCCTAGTATTTCCTACCTAGTATTTCCTACCATTCCTAGTATTTCCTACCATTCCTAGTATTTCCTACCTAGTATTTCCTACCATTTCCTACCATCAATTCTTAAAGGAAAGGACATTTTAATGTTTTAAAGGAGACGGGACACCTTGTAATAAAGGATAATCCTTTAAATTTATCATTATGAAAATGTTCTCATTTTTCTCCTTTTTTCTAGAGTGAGGAAAATTGTGGGCAATATGGCTTTGAGGTTAAAGGTGTGGGCTCTGGAGTCCATCCACCTGCCCAGCACCACTCCTGACCTGGTGTGACCTTGAGCAAGTTACCTTCCCTGTTTGTGCCATGGCTTTCTGATCCGAAGAAGGGAGTTCACGTGATCCACCTCAAGGGAGTGTTGTCAGCATAAAGTAATTCATGCTGTGAGAACCGTGCCTGGCACGTAATTAATGCTCAGTAACTGTTAGCTATTACTGTGGTCTTTAATGTGGCTCACCACATACTGCTGACTCTCCACCCTCAGGCACATGTAGGATTGTGCTTCTCAGCCACGTCCTCTCTTGTGGTTGGATGGGGCCATGTAACTGGTAGGCTGTGAGCAGAACTGACTTGAGTCGCTTCTGGACCAGAGGATTTAATTGCCGGTGTGATACTCTCGAAGCTCTCTTTTCCCAAGTAGGGCAGTCATTGGTAACATGTGAGGTGGAGGCTGCTCCCCAGCCTGGTCCCTGAGCGACTATGGTGAACAGAGGGCAGCCCCCACCCTCCGGCAGGTGGTAATATGCAGTGAATAAGAAGTAGGCCTTTGTTTTAAACCACTGATATTTCAGGGCATTATTACTGACTGTCACATAATCTAGCTTATCCTGACTGGTGCAG